TTTTTTTTTACTTAACCTACTTAGGATAAGTAGCTAATTATAATGGATCCCTATATGTGTATTAACATGCTCCATTTTTATATATAAACATATATATATATATAAACTCACTGTAGCAAATATGAAATATAAATGACAAAGCACAGACATTGCAGTTCACAATGTAAAATGTTGTGAAATTTCAACCTAAAGAGGTAGCATCATATAGTTTGAAAACATTTTTTAATTAATGTCTTTCCACTATTGATGTTAATTTTGTTGCTGTGATATTATTTTTAAGAGAGCAATATGGGCATACAAAAAATAATAAACTTAATAGAACAGAAAGGAATAAAATAGAAAGTGTATCTTCTTATTTGCCAGATACCTTAATTTTATTTCTCAATGTTAGACAATGTTTAGAGTTTATCTTTTCAGAAACTGTCTATGAAGGTACAATTATATATTTAAATYTGTTTATGATCATATAAACATATCTTTATACATGTAAATTATTATTATATATTTCAAACTGATTATTTTACAACTTACTTTTATTTAATATTTACGTAACCCATTCTTAACACTTGTTTCTACATAAAACATACTCTTCTACCTCATTCTTTTCAACAACTTAATCACAGGACCAAGTCCACATTATATTTAGCTGTTGCCCAAACACCTTGTACCTTTACCTCGGTATACAAGTGTAAGTATATGTTCCTAGAACTAGAATGAGCAAATCAAAGAATATGCAGATTTAATTCTGTTAAATCCCATCAAATTGCTTTCCAAAAAAGGCAGCACCATACTACAGACTCATGAACAGCCCCTTGACTGCTTCCTTGTGTTCTTATATTTTTTATTAGTTTTAATTAAATACTCTTTTGTTATGTGTGTGGTTATATTTCCCATTACATGTGTTGTTTATGTTGTCTTTTGCTATATCCAAGTTTAAAATTGTTAGGTAGTGAAATGTATCCATATTTTTGCTTATAAGAGTTTCCAAATTTCACCATATGCTTAGAAAACCTTCTCACAATGAAATGTAAGTACACACATAAAATGAGGTGAATCCATCAATGATGGAAACTGATTCCAAAATATATAATATTGAATGTAAAAACAAAGTGCAGAACAGTATGTACAATGTACAGGTGTAACTACAGGTAGAAGGCAGAATGATCATGGCTCATTTTTTTCACTCTTTGAACTTTTAATCATTCATGTATTATCTAAACGTTTTGATTTTACTAAAATAAAAAGCAGTTTCTATTATGAATGCATACCAAATAAAGCTCCCTTGTCACTTGTAATGCACAATTTCATTTACCATTTAAAGCTTGTTGGTGTAAGTATTAGGACAGAGATCCAGTCCTGCTTTCTACCAGATTGGCCTGGTGAATTATTGTTTGTTAAGAGGCGAAGTCTGCAGTAGAGGAACAGAGTGACTGGTGAGCAAAGTCTGAAAGCCCTCGGCTTACTAAGGAATGAAGGAAGGCGAAATGTTTTCTAATGCCAGACATGGGCTACACTTACGTTTCGCTTCTGTACTATTTCCGCGATAAGCACTTTGGGTGTGAGGGGATGTRCACCTCCTAGCTTGACGCTGCTGCAAATCCCAAATCAGAGAGGTGAAGCTAGAAAAGGACGCTTCTCAGGGCTTTTGAAATGGAACATCCGGACTGGGCAGGTAGCCGCAGAGCACGGGCGGGATCCCAAGGAAAGGGCAGCCACACCTGTCCTACCTGGCTAATAAATACAGCTATCCCGGACCAAGCGGTTTTGGAGGCTCTTCCAAGCCGCACAGGTCTTCAAAAGACTCTGTTGCAGGCCATATCCTAGCAACGGCCTTAGCGTCCCTCCCTCCTGCTGGGCCCCGCCCTCGAGCGCTGAGGAATTCCTTGGGTGCACCAGGCCCAGGGTAGGGGTGTGCCCAGTGGTTACCTAGGTCGGGGAGTAACCCTTCCCCAAGAACTTTACATTTCTGAAAGGAAATGAATGTTTCTCTGAAATAAATGCTGATCACAATTTAAGCTTACAGGTTTTTAAAAAATCAGAGTCCAAGAAAATAGAAATATCAAGTGAAAAGGTTAAGCAATTGACAAAGGAGAACTTGGTGTGTACAACAGCAAGTGCCTACTTGCTTATTTTGCTTTCAGCTTCCTTGCAGCCTAAGACAGTAACTATTAAAGAGAGTTCTCTTCACAAGTTGGGACAAGCAAAGCTTTTGTTAAGCACTCAATTGTAAAGGACTTTTGTTCCTATCACTGAATTCTTTTTTTAATATGGACACAATATCTTTATTTTTATGTGGTGCTGAGGATGGACCCCAGTGAAATTCTTTAAGCTTTAAAAGAAGACAGGAATAGTATTGGGTGAAAGATGATGTTCTTGTTGCAAATGTATCAACAAATTTCATGCTACTATCTCATAATAGCACGTAAAACGTATTATTACTAAGCACCTTACTTATATTTTTAACTTAATGCTTGCAAAGATTTTATTGAGGATCTAGTATGAGCTCCATTTTACTGAGAAAACTAAGGCACAAAGAGGTTTAAAGAGAAACCAGGATTAAACCCAAGCAGTCTGACTTGAGGCCAGATTTTAAACCACTATTCAACACCCTTCCATATTTAAAACGGATGTAGAATAAACTAAAATTTTTGTTCACATAGTGCAGGTCCATTCCCTCATTCATAATGGTATCATTTCTTTATGCCATTTTGCTAAAATTGCACTCTTCAATGACTTCCTAATGTCCAATTCCATTTTTGAAATGGGATACATTCCAGCTATGCTGTTTCAAAACGCATATTTCTTATTAGAATATGAAGTACTGTATTCTTAAATAAATTGGTTTTGCTATAGGGATGATTTTAAGTAAATGCAAGTCCATTTGAATCACTTCCATACATTCCAGTAAAGGATAAAGTTAGACCAGGTGTGGAGGTACACAGACAAGTTTTTCCAAAAACCCACTCCCAGCTCCAAAATTATAATGCATCTTAAATTTTTACTAGCAATAAGAATTACATTGGTTTTAACACTTTTTTGTCTTTTCTTTAAAATTTGTCACTCATGATCATGTTACAGGCAGTTTGAAAACACTAGCATTAGGGATATGACAGGAATTGGAGGGAAGAAAACAGACAGTAGAGAACTCTAAGTATTAGTCTCACAGTGTTAAATGTGACCTGTTACCCAGTATATGTTCATATTTTGTTTACAGTGTGCATGGAATTGACTTTACACAACTCAATTTTACAATATCTTACCTAATCTGTAGAATTTCTAGGTCGTTTGTGCAGCCTGGAGAGATTGCACATCAAAATCACTCACACACACACACACACACACACACACACGCACACACACACACACGCACACACACACGCACACACAGACAGTTGCTTCATTATATGTGAATGTAAAATGAATGAAAATGATCATTAGGAAAAAATTCAGTTTCAAAAGTAGAAGAGTAATTTTCAGTATCATTTTCCATTTTGTTTTTAACCATAAATCTATGCATTTTCTCAGGATTTATTGTTCAAAATGACTTATTTCTTATGAAACATCTACTTTCATTTATCTCAGCATTTATATAAACAATAAGTCCTTCTTTTGATGTGCTTATATTTTTACAAAGATGCCATCTAGTGGCTTTATGAAATCAATTACTTCCAAGCATCTTCCACTGCTATGCCAAGTTRAAATAAACAGATATTAGAATAATAATTGAGAAAATTGAGGATCTGAAAATTATGTTTTGGGAATTATCTATATAGATTAAATTTGTATCTTGTTTGTGAAATTTTTAAAAGACAGGAAATACAGATGGAGAGTAACTTTTTTGAAAACTTTCTGGGTGAGTCAGATTTTTTTATATTTATAGAATATTTCTGATTTCTGAAAGGTAATATGAGCATATATTTTATATTACATAATGCATTCAGTGAGTCTGGGGAAACTGTGGAGAATCAAATACATTAATACTTATATGGCAAAAATATACTCATATTAAGATGGAATAAAGACCACAAATAGCGTTCCATCAGTTGTTTTGTTTTCAAATGAGTTATAAAAAACTGCACTTTAAGAGATTTGTAAAATTTAGATAAGTAATCATGGGCCTGTTTTGCCCTTGAGAAAAGGAGTACACCCTACAGTTAGAGGAAAAGATTAAAATACAATGATTATAAAATAATACTTATCTTTAGTAAAGTTAAAGGATTCAGCTAATAATTTTTGTTTTGAAGATCATGAGAAATCCACAAAAAGAATCTTTGCAATGCTTTCAGTCACTTATAGAAGCTAATCTATAGTAACTTACATATAAACACAGAACAAAAAAAAAATAGCTGCTATAAGATCACTTTGATAGTTTTAAGCAATGCATGGCAAACTCTATGGAACATTCCAAAAAAAAAAAAAACCTTGGATTTGTTTTTTGGTTTCTTTGTATGATTTGCTCCTATGTTCCCATACCCTACCACTATGTTCATGGAAGTTTGTGTTGATGGCACCATGATCAGCCTGGCTCCCTTATATGAGCACTCTTTATCAACTCTTCCTAGAAAAGTAGTATGAAAAAAACATTAAAATTCTGGCATTTAGGAAAGCCTATGCAAAGTCACTTATTTTCTCACTACTTTTATTAACTACCTAGAGTTTTAGCTTATTACTTCTAAATAAATTTTCAAATAAATTTCTCCAGTCCCCATCAATRACTCAAATCCTTTATTATCACATTGAATCTAAAATCTAGAATCTCACTGAAAATCAGGTTTTAATGGAAAAAATAGCTTTCAGTAAATACAAAAATATACCTATTATATGCTCAACAACTTGGTACTTAACCCTAAACCCCAGAATACACTTGTACAGGGGGATTAACTTCTGTTTATATAACCATGGAAGCTGGGGGGTTGGGGGGGATTGATATTAGCTTATATGTGAGGATATTCCTACAGACATTATTTTTTCTTCCTTTGAAAATAGTCACAGGTATTATCTTTTTTTTTTTTTTTAATACCTAGCCTTATATTTCTGACTGAATCTTAGGATGAGAAAAGGAAAAAGCTCATAAGATAAGCACTTTTTCTTTCATCCACCAATTTGAGGGAAAGGCAGGGTGAGAGAATATTGTAAAAGGACACATGGAAACCTGACAGCATCACATTCRCTACAGATGACAGTTTGTTTAGTTGTCCAGCTCCTGCTGTTATAGGAAGAATGGCAACCCTGAGATCTGAGCCTTATTTCAGTAGGGGGCCCTACGTCCTGTTTGTACAGGACACCTATTATCCTTATGAAATTATTAATACCTTCTTTCACTTCAAAAATCATTCCAAGTTGATTATCCCAAATAAAAGTCATTTCATCTGAAAAAATGTCCAGAAATTAAAATATTCTGAAGTATGGGTGTGAAAGGGGTATCAATTTTGATATCATTTTCTTGTTTGCAAAGCTCAAATTGATTAGTTCTCTTTCTTCTGAAGCAGAGTAAGGTGATTAACCTGAATGAAATCTATCAGGAGCCTACTGCAAACCAAAATAAACCATTCTAAAAATTATTCAAATTAGTCTAGAAACCACTCAGCAACACTGAAGATCTGTGAATAGAATAATCATTTGCAAAATGGTCAGAATACTTAATATGGAAGTTTATAGGAAGCAAATGGTAAAAGATTTGAAGGAATAAGAACAATCAGGTGTAAAGTTGTGCACGCAGCTGTAATGCCAGTAAATGCAAGAGTGATGGACCAAATCGCACTGCCTTTTTTTATATCAATCCTTTTAACATTTTGTGCAAATCCAAAGATCATTGCACAAAGTGAAATCCAGTTTACTACTTCTGTTCATATTATTCTTTACAATTACTCTGACAGAAAAATTCAAGGGAGCAAGATCTAGGTTTGTTGGATTCAGCTGATATGGTATAGGCAGAAATGACAGCATCCCAAGCATATTAGTAAAGAACAACATAATATAAAGTTAAGAGCATGAATCCTAGAACCAGACTGTCTAGGTTCAAAATTTAACTCCATGTCTATATGACCTTGAATATATTATTAAGTCATTTCTTTGTCTCAGTTCCTCCAGCACCCCACATTACACAAAATAGGGCAGCACTATTCATGATGGATTCCATTTCCTTATGAGAACAGAGATAGTTCACAGTATCTTCCTCTTACCAAGTTGTGGTGTAGATTTAATGAATGAAAGTACTTAGCACAGTACCTGACATTCATATTTGTCTCAGAAATCATTAACTATTAGGTTTACATACTAGCTATTATTCTACAAGTACGTTATTCTAAAACTCTATTGCAAACACGAATAAAGTCCCCTTTAAATAACAAAGCTATAGAAGCACTGCTGGTGAAATATAAAAGATACTCAAAAATCATGGGAGAAATGGGACTGAAAGTATAGTAAAGACACAGCAAAACAATTTTTTAAATGTCCCCAAAGTATCCTAAAAAATTTGGTTAGAAAATTAGCTTGAAAGCATCATGCACACATGCTTTACAGTTACATATTTTGACCTTAGCAAATATACTACATATTTAAGTAAATGTTGAACTGAAAAAGGAAGTTAAATAATCTGAGGGACTAACAACCTTCCTCACCTTAGCCACTGAACTCACAATGGTGCTAGAACCGCAGGAATGAGAACCCTGGGCTTGACCCTCCCTTAATACTTTTGCTTCCCATCCACAAGAAGCTCCCTTGTAATCTGATGGCTAAAAAGTAACCCAACTTACCTACTTAATATTAATTTAGCATTAGGTTACAGCTTTATAAGGGAGAAATATATTAGGAAAAAGAAAAAATACAATTTTTTTTCTCATTTTGAATAATTCAGTTTAGCCAGAAGAGAGAGCACACACATAAATGCCCACACACAGAGAGGGAAGTATTTATGATTTATCTATGAAGAAAAAAATAAATTTAACTGGGTATTTGGAAATAATGGGGAGCTAGGAAGAAAAGGCGAAGACAGATGCAAAGTAATTTGATTTTTGTCAAACTTGAGCTTGCCAACTTCTTTCCTTGAACAGCATTTGTCTTCTATTTGATACCTACCTGGCATGCATACTACAAACAGTGAAAACTACTTAGTGATTCCACTTTGAAATTATACCTGTATGACTAAGATATTTTGAATATACTCATGTGTACCAGGTAAACTTCAGGAACTCCTACTACCGTTTTTAAAAGAACTTCTACATCCATCCTGATGTAGTTGGGTTGATCAATAAAACTAAAGGCTAAGGGCCAGATAACTTCCTTAAATGAAACAAAAGGAAAAACTTATCCAACAAACTCTGTAAAAATAAGAAATTTTTCAAGTACCAAAAATCAATTTCTTCAATTGTACAATGAGTTCTAATCAGATGGTTTTCAAGGCTAATAAAGTAACAACAAAATGTGACAAAATGAAGATAAAATGGAAATAGTGAAAATAGAGTAAATAATCCAAACGCAGCCTAAAATAAAATGACATTTATAATGGATTTGATAGTCATTACAGAATCATATATGTAAGTTTTCCTTTATACATAAGATCACAGCCAAGGAGGTCAACAATTGAAAATTTTATCAYGAACTATTTTTGCCATTATTCTCACAACTAACCATTTTCATGCTTACTACTTCATCTCAAATGGTGACCAGTAAATTTGTTTAGACAATAATAATAAAGTGCTTTTTCTTTTTATCAGGATAATGAAATGAAATTGAGTAACATACTAAAGATACTGAAACTTTTGATTTGACCTCTGAAATAAAGATCTATAGGAATTTTTCTAATTAACTTTCAAATCTTCCCTCAAACTTTCTGTTTAAAGAAATTCCATCTTTGAAATAATCTGCACAAATACTCTGCTTATCAAAAACTGATTCAYAMGACCCTATTACCATAAACACTAGTCTCTTCAATGTGTCCTGTGTCAGTTTTCTTGATTATGTCAATACATGGAAACATTTTAAAAATAACAGAACACTTAATTAAATCAGTTTCCCATCAGCCCACAGAATACATGTAATGATTATATTGGCCATTTCCACTGGTTAGCAGGAGGTTCTTCTATTAATGGCTCCCATGGTTTCCACTGCAGCATTTTTCTTGCCAGACTTAGTTCAGTTTCAGCCTGTCATAAAAATTTTTAAAAAACATAATTTGATTGACTGTTCAACAGGTACTTAAAATAGTTAGTAACTAAAATGTAACTATAAGTGCTACTACTTTCATATTAATATCTCATGATTTATTTCACCATAAAATTCACGACACTTATTCTATTTAGTGGTTCTACTACGTAACTAATGGTCAGGTAGTACATACAGCATAGATACAATGAGCAACAGGATGACTCATATCCCTGGCATTATAGAATGGGATAGTGTGAGATTTCATTAAGCTACTCTGAACATCATGCAATTTTAAACTTATGAATTATTTCTACACACTAGATTTTGAAAACTTAATATTAAAAAATATATAAAATCTCTTTCATAATGGTTACACTTAAATAATATTTTCAACATATCAGGTTAAAGAAACATTAAATTAATTTATATTTTAATATTGCCATAAAATGTGAAGAAGTGCAAAGATGACTCAAAAATACTGAAAATTTCTTAAAACTACTGAAAATTCCTTAAGACTATAACTGTATGATCAATTAACATATCAACTAAACTCAATCTGATGAAAGTGAAACAGAACATAGAAGCAGGAAGAGGACAATAGTCAAGAGGTTTGCATCGAGTTCCCTTAGCACTTTATCTACCATCACAATCAACCTGAAAATTGAATAAAAGGGCCAAGAAAACAGGCCTTGGAATAACTAAAAGATGTGCAGACAATACGGCAAAAGTTTAGGTTAATGTCTTTTATTATTAAAAAAAAAAAAAACTCAAATCTTAATATTTTAAAAAATTAAGATCAAATAGCATGGTAAAAATATTAATGAATATAATTTATAATAAATGAAAGATAAGAACGTATTCCAAAAATTTAACCATACTAGTAAATGGGGGGAAATGGACTATTTAAAACAAAAAGTCAAATAAAAATGAGGCATCGTTTTCTCTAATTAAATTAAATTGCATTCTTATCAGCATAGATGTACTAAAGCCAATATTTTGAAATACTGTTGTGGAACTAGAGATTATTCCTATCAGAAAATAATTTGGTATTATGGTCCAAAAATTTAACTCATTATTATGTAAGAGAATTTCACTAGTAATTTTACCTAAAGGTACTGATCCTAATAACAAAAAAAAAATAGAAAAAGCTGTTTGTACAACCATCATAGTCACAGTGTTATTCATAATAGGAAAAGATTTTCCTCTATTTTTAAAAAAATTCTGTAATGATACTAAAATACTTTTATAAAAAACAAATTCTACCAAAAAAGTTGTTAAGCACAATTATCTTCTAGGCAATCAGCCATATTTCACTGAAGAAAAGGTCATACTGCCATATATTCAGCTCTCTAAATTATTAAAAGATAAAAGAAGAAATTGTTCTAATGAAAAGAAGTTACTTGTGACAACTAATTTTAGAATGTAGCTTGGGCCAATTTAAGTCCATTTTAACATAATCCATTTAAATTTAAGCCATAGTATTATCATGACTTCTTAAAGCCATTTTTAAGACGATACGTTAAATTCACTATGCTCTAATGCAAAAAATATTACATTTTTACCAACAAAAATATTATAGATGATTTAAAAAAATATCAAATGCTCAGAGCAGTATTTTTCTAGTGTTTTCTTCTCTTGACCATTTCTGTTACCCATCTATGAATAAGGGGAAAGAATGCAAATTCTAGTTAAACAAAATTAAACTGAGTATTTTTTTTCTTGTATAAGTAATGGCCACAATGAGGATAGGATAAAATATTTCCAAATAGAATAATTTAAAATTTAAATATTCTAGATGTAATGCTGTTAATGATAATTTTTCATAATCATGCTTGTATTTTATTATTCAGTATCATTATTTGTCAGGATTAGTATGCAGATAACAATGTAAAATCAAACTTTCAATATACTGTGCAATTAAAAGCTGCTTTTAACTTGGTCAAATGCTCCAATAACCAAAAAACAAGTACATTTTAATTTTATGATTCCAGACATTTTTTTTTCTCCATGTTAAAAGTATACCAAGCTCTTAAAATATAAAACTATATTCACACTGTTACTAACCTTTCAGTTAACTAAACTGAAAGAATATCAAACTCCAATCTTCCAAATGAAGCCTCAAAAATTCAAGTTAGAAATAATAATAAAAGACTTAAGTGACATTCACATGTCAGAAGTAGCACATTTTCTAAATATAGTCTTATATTTGATAAATTAATATATAAAGCAAAGAAATTTAGCTTTCTTTTATCAGTTTTGTGTGTCTATATAAAATGAATATTTGAAATCAAACATTTAAATGTTCAACTTTTTCTTTACCTGAAGAATCACCTCTTCTATTTGGCCATGCTGAAGTTGCTCTTCYAATTTTTTAACATCTGATTCCTGTCATTTCAGGGAAAAAAAAATATTAGCTACTGAAACACAATATCTGAATGTTTTAAGACCCTATATTTTAAAACCCATATATAAAAAGCACTTACAACAAACATAATTTTCCTATCAACATGCCCTCACTAAACTTTTACCAAATAATTGGTAAAAATCATTTACTCTCTCCGCTGCTACACTGTCTTTTTGTCTTAATGTTAAAAAGTATTATTTGTTGATATGCTTATTAAAGGTAAGGCATATGATGCCTARTTCAGTCTTTCTAAAATAGATTTTAAAATATCACTTTGCTTTTCTTAATGTTTTCTGTATTTCATCTGAGAATATTAACATTGAAAATAAGCCAGGCACAGTGGCCCATGCYTGTAATCAAGTGACTCAGGAGGCTGAAGCAAGAGGATCTCAAGCTCAAAGCCAGCCCCAGCAAATTAGAGAGGCCCTAAGCAACTTAGTGAGACCCTATCTCAAAATTAAAATTGGCTGGAGATGTCAATGGTTAAGTGCCCCTGGCTTTAATCCCAGGTACCAAAAAATAAATAAACAAATATTAAAAAATGCTGGGGCTAGGGTTTTCACTCAGTGGTAGAGCAATCGATCCTTAGCACCACATAAAAATAAATAAATTAAATAAAGGTATTAAAAAAAAATGCTATCGTATGACCCCAGAAATTCCTCTGCTGGGTATATATAAAACAAATAACATATTCCAGAACAAAGCAGCACAATTTGTAGCTCCCAAACTACAAATAAATCAAACCTATGATAAAAAAGATCAAAAAATTATGATATTTGGATATAATRAAATACTATTTGCTGATGAAAATGAAAAAACAAACTATACACAAAAATAGATGATTCTCTCACACATAATATTACGTGGAAAGAAATCAGACACAAAAGAGTACATAATAATTATTCCATTTATRCAAAGTTCAAAAAAAGGAAAATGAATCTATCATATTAAAGATAAGAATAATAGTTACTGTTAGCAGGATAGTAACTTTAAAGAAACAAGGGGTTTAGAGTTCTAGAAATGTCCTTTAGTCTGGTATTCACTTGAGTATGATCACTTCGTGAAAATTCACTATAATTTCTGTATATTTTTATATACATTATACTTTTATAAAATGATTTTAAAAAGAACTGCTGGGCTGGGGACGTGACTCAGTGGTAGAATGCTTGCCTGGCATGGGTGAAGCCCTGGGTCTGATCCTCAGTACTGGAAAGAAAAAATTCTAATAAATATAGTATCTGAACATTTAATGTTAATTATTTATTTTCTAGTATACTAAACTTTTTGAGAGTCAGTCAGGAACCATGCCATATACCACATATGTAAGAAAGCCTTCATCATTATCAGATGGTTTTATGTTCTATAATAGTATTTTTAAAAAGAGAAAAACAAGGATTCTATTTATTTATTTATTTATTTTAATTCTAGGAATTCATATGTTCCTGCTTCAGAAAATCTGAATGGCCTAGAATTCTGCATGGATTATTCCTTCACCCTCTCCAAATCTTTGCTCAAATATCACCTTCTTAATAAGGACTACTGATAACTCACATTGTAGTAGGCTGAATAATGCCCCACAAAATGTGTAAGTATTTATTAATCCCTAGAGCTTGTGAATATTATCTTATGATCTTCTATGGCAAAGGCTTTGTGGGTTTGATTAAAACCTTAAGATGGGGGGACTTTCCTGGACTGTCCTGATAAAAAAAAAAGTAAAAGGAAATTACATTGAGACAGAAAGAAAGAGATGGTAATCTACTATGTAGTCAGAAATCAGAGTGATGCAGCCACAGCCAAGCAATCTAAACTCCAGAAGCTGGCAGAGACAAGGAACAAAGTCTACCCCAGAGACACAAGAGAGAACATAGCCCTAACAATTTGATGTGGGCTCCTGATACCAATTTCAGACTATTAAGCCTRTAGAAATAAAACAGTAAATTTCTATTATCTTAAAGCCATAAAATCTGTGTTAATCTGTTACACAGCAGCCACAAGATACTAATACAGTTTACAGATAAGATCTCCCATCCCTAACATGGCACAAATCATCATTCCTTGCTTTATTTTCTTCACTATACTTTCTACCTTCTAATATACTCTATACTTCATTTATTTACATTTTTACTTATTTATTTTGAGGCTTCCCATCATTAATGTGTAATTTCTAAGGGCAAGGATTTTTATCTGTTGTTTTTACTGTCGTCTAGGAACTAGTGTCCATGCCTAGAACTATTCATGGCATAAACAGTCATTCAATAAATATTTCTTGGTTAAATAGATAAGTAAAAATAGTTGAAAAGGGAGGAAAAAGAAAAAACATGAGCATGTTTCAGAAAGACAATTTAATACCAAGTTAACTCAGTAATGAGGCCAAAACTCAAAAGCAAAACAAGAAAGCAGATCACAGTTATAAAAGAACCAGAAGGGGTAAAAGGTAAAGAAGCCAAGGAATGTTCAACAAAATTTTCTACTCGGGAAAGACCTGTTATAAACTGTTTTGAAAAACAGTTTATAAATTTGTCTCACTGATGGTAAATCAATAATGTGATTTTTATTTACCAATGCATTAAGCTTAAAAAGATATATAATGAGTGCTCACTCTGTCCTTGAGACCAGATTAAGCTTTTTACATATATTACCTATTTCATCCTAAAAACAAGTGTTTAAGGTAGGTATTATTATATCCAAATTATAGATGAAGAAGTTGAGACAGAAAAAATAAAAAGTAGACCATGTTACTCAGCAAATCAGAGCTGATGAAAATCTTGAACAAGATACAAACCAATGTTTTTCACCAATATGCTATTACTATCTTTCCCAAGTAATAATATAAAAAAAWTTTTCATTTCCATCTTAGGCTTGGAAAATAGAGATTTGATCATCATAACAATATTAATGGATGACTATGTGAATGGTTAAAAAATGTGATAATTCTACCAAAAACTGGTAAAATTTTCTGTAAAATCAAAGATATAACTATTATGAAATGCTTGGGATTATCAAAATCTATTTGTATTTAGTCATTTGAATAAACAAATACTTCTAAGGGCTCATGTGTCAGGTACTATGCTAGATCTTAGGGTATAAAGATTAATTCAATATCATTCATAAGTAGCTTATGACTAGTAGATGAGACAGGCATAAACATAATRTGATAGGTACAATAAGAGATGTGAGGAAGTTGTCAAACTCAGGGAGGTAAGAAAAAGTGTCACAAAGGAAGTGAATACTTGAAAACTGAGTTTCAAGAACTATCTTAATCTATTTGTGCTGGTACAACAAAACACCTGAGACATAGATTATAAACTAAATTTTCTCACAGTTCTGGAGAGCGGAAAGTCCAAGATTAAGACATTGGTAAGTTTAGGTATCCAGTGAGGGCTGCAGCCTCAGAAAGGGAAGAAACACTATGTTCTTACGTGGTGGATGCAAAGGGCAAGAGAAAGCCTAAATTGTACAAAGTCTCTTTATTTATAAAAGCCTTAATCTCATTCATAAGGGAGAAGTACTCACGGACCAATCACTGCTTAATAGTACCATGGTGGCCATTAAGTTTCAACACCAAAATTTTAGAGACGAATATTCAAACCATAGCAAACTGCCAGCTAGACAAGATTAGGGGCATTCCAGGAAGAGAGAAAATACAAATAATATAAAAATAAAATTGCATGGAATTCACAAAATTGCCAGCAGCTTGATGTTGCTGAAGTATAGGGTGTAAGAGGAAATRACAGAATAGGATTGAGAAGAAAAATAAGAGCCAGATCTCAGAGGACTGTACATACCATGCTAAAAACTTTATTCTGTTAAGATCCTGATTCCCAAACATGGGTCTGTGTAAAAATTATGCAGATAAAGGTTAGCTTCATATAACCAACCACCTCAGCATAAATCCTTAAACTCAGTCTCTGAGAAACACTGAACAGTAAAATACTAAGATATTAAGCACGAAGTTAATGTAAGATTTACATATTGAAAAACAACACTACTATTATCTTGAGGTTATTAAATATGATAATAAAATGGGAGAGTCTAAAAAAGGGAACATACAGAATAAACAAAGGAGAACAAGATTATTGAGAAGAAAGACAGAAAAAAGAAATCAAAGATGGAATTGAGTAGGTTCACCTCATGAAAAGAAAAAGGRAAATTTCTTATTCCATGATAAGGAAAAAAATTTCCTCACTCAAGGACAACATGAAAACAAAATGAAAAAAAAAAATRAACTTCCGTATTAGAGACTTCAATCTATAAAATTACTTCCACAATTGCCAAGGTAAAAACAAAAATTCCAAATTAAGTTGCATTATCCTGCTGTATATCAAAGGAAAAGACAGGAGTTCTTTTCAAATATAAAGATTGGTGATCTAATAAGAATAATAAACATAAATTAACATCACTTTTGAATGTATATAAAATACTTCCAGAATTTATGACCACTACTTTTGATAATAACATAAAGCTCATGAAATAATTGATGAAATTATTTGTATGAAAATTTAACAAGGCAATACAGTTTGGTATGAAAAAAAACAGCAGTAGTTTACTGTGTTCTTGTCTAGTGCCTTTGATTTTTAAGTTGTAAAATGCTTGTATTAGTTTGCTCGGCTGCCATAACAAAATACATAGACTACGATGGCTTAAAGAACAGAAATTTATTCTCTTAGAGTTCTGGAGACCAGAAGCCCAAGATCAAAGTGACAACAAAGTTCCTGCCCAGTATCTATTGATTAAATGCAAAATATCAATAAAGAATTAAACTATACAGAGAAGAAAAGTAAAAGGTACAGCTACAATGTTACCTCAGGGAAGGACTTGATCTGATTCTTGCATTCCAGTAATTAACAGTGTTTTGCATTTAGAAAGCACTTATTAAACAAGAGTTTGCTAAATGGAAAGRAGAAAAGATGGGAAAAAAGCACTGAAGGAAGGGGAATACAAATAAGAGAGCAATTGTACAGGAAGTGCAAAAGAAGCAAATGAATTTTTTGGTTAAATGTAACATAGGCTACATAAATCCAAAAGAACAAAAATGAGTTAGCTACTTACCGCTTTAACCATTCCCAGTTTCTCATTTGTAATCTGCTCTGTATATTTTCTATACGCTGCATTTTTAGGGATTTGCTCAAGAACATCAAGAATCTTTGTGTACAATATTCTGAGCCTCTGAAAAGACAAGCCATACAAATTTCTATAGGTTAAAATATCACCAAAGATTAGAAAGAACATTTAAACAAGAATTTCACAGAAAATTTTTAAAGGATTCACATCTTATTTTTTTAAAGAAAATTTAATTTTTCTTCACTGTAATTTTTTCTGTCTGTACCCTATCTCTACCCTTTACAACTCTGGAAAACTGAATATAAATGTGGAAACTCTTTCTATGTCTTGTATGCGCAATAAAAATTGTACATGAGTCCAGGTATAATAACAAGCAGAAATAAAACTAACTTAAAGCTGATGACCTTTCTTGGAAATCAAATCATTTAGCAGATCAATATTTCTCTAACTGAGGTCCTAAGCACTATAAATTTTTTTCTGTTCTTTTTTTTTCTGTTTTTCTTAGTTGAACTTGTGTAGAAATTACACACACACACATATATGCATTAGATATTTAGTATAATAAAATTTAACTGAATAATTATAATATCCAGTGTTTCTTTGTGATTACAATTGTGTTAGCACCAAGTGAATTCAATTTTCACCAAAAGTTCAACAGAAAAAGAATAGAAGGGATTCACTACCCAGCATATACTGAAGCACACTGAGTACAGTCAGCCAATAATGGTAAGTTGTTGTCTTGGCAGATCCTAACCCACAGCAGTTCATGTAATAAATATAATTATAATTATAAATGTACTGTGTACTTAAGAAATCTGTACTTTTCTTTGTATTTAATTAAAATTAAACTCTTTTTGTTTTTTGTGTGTGCTACTAGGGACTAAAACCAGGTCTTCTTGGATGCTGGGCAAGCCCTTTACCACTGAGCCACTGAGCTATATCCCTATCCTTGAAATTTATTTCAGTTTAATTGTATGAAATCCAGAGAAACTAATATCTAGTTTCATTCAAATATAAATTCAATAGATATATGTATATATACAAATAAACTCTGAGGGTCTCTAAGATTAGTTTTACTTATTAAAAAAGGTCTACATATTTAGCCATTATTTATATATTTCAAATGATGTTTCATAATAGAGAATATTTTACTATAGAGGTTGAATATTCCTTATCTTTGGGACCAGATGTGGTTTGACTATCAGGACATTTTGCCTTCTGGAATATCTGAATATACATAATGAAGTATCTTACAGATGGAACCCAAKTTAAGGCACAAAATTCATTTATATTTCATATATACCTTAAACACATAGCCTGAAAGTAATTTTATACAATATTTCAAGTGCGAATTTTTCATCTGTGGCATCACATCAGCACACAAAAAGTTTCATATTTGAGCGTTCTAGACTTTAGATTTTCAGATTAAGGATGCTCTTGTCAGATAACATATAGTCACAATTGTGCAGCATATAGTCACAATTTAGCCTCATTTCTTCTTAATTTTTAGCAAAGAAGAAGATAATAGAAAGTCCTGGCCAATRGACTTAGGTTCGAATTAATTATTCCCTGTCTATGTCTACAAACCATTAATTTAAGCTTTCAGTTTCAACTTACAAATATTTCTAATTCTTATCCTCTCCAATTTACATGTACATAAGGCACATATTAGTTTTCAAGATAGCATTTTAATAAAATTATAATCTGATTTAAATATTTGGTTTTTAGAATATCTTAATTTTTCCTGATAGAAATATATCTATTCCTAGAAAAATACACATTAGCACCATGAATGATTAATATAGAAAAAAAGAATACTATAGGACCCTTATGAGTGAAAGATACCACTAATCATTATTCCAAAACATAGGTGTAAAACAGAATACTCCATTCAAACAAGAAACACAGTCACTTTAAGTGTATCTCAATGACTGCAGGTATATAAATACTTCTCCTAAAGAATATTATTTTTTCAATAAAAATGTATTCCACTATACTGCCATGTATGATATTATACTGTGTGCTATTTGGATATAAAGATAGATTGGTCATGGATCCCATTTCCAGTATGTTTAAGATATTATAAGGTAGTCAACGCCATAAAATTTAAAAAGATGTTCGTGGTAGGGATGGGAAGAATGTAGAACAGAAAGACCAGCAATAAGCAATGGTTAAGTGTGTGCTAACTAGAACCTGACTGTCTGGCTTCACTGCCTGCCAGTGCTTAGTTGCAAAGGACAAGTTAWTTCCATTTGAGTGCCTTCATTCCTCATCTGTAAAAGGTGGACTATAATATCTGCCTCATTGGGTATTGTATCACTTAAAATAATAGGAGGCACAAATAAATGTTAGCAATATTATTCCACAAGGAAAGAAGGAATCACTTCAGCAGAGACCAGAGAAGGGATCATAGAAAAGGTAACTTCTGAGAAAGGAATGGTAGGACTTGGAAAAAATGAAGACTTTGGCAAAAGCAATTTTCACATCAAACACATAGGACTGAATGGCAGAAAATACAGGGAACAAAAAGGAAACAGGATAGTTTTATTTTTCTGAACTGTGCTATCCAATACCATAGCTGCTCACCAACTATGGTTATTGAGCACATGAAACTTGGCTAATCCAAACTACAATGTGTTCTCTAACTAAAAATACAGTGTGTTTTTATAATTCCATATTAAAAAAACTATAAAATATTTTCATATTGATTATATATTGAAATGGTTATGTCAGATCTGTCAGCTAGAAGTCRTTTTTTCTATATTAAGAAAGTGGTTTTTAGAAAATTTAAAATTACATTAAAACATAGCTTATATGTTTTGTGGCTCATATTTTCAATGCACAGCACTTGGATAGAATACAGGACATATGAGGAAATTCTGAGGAGATAAGACAGAAGAATAAGACAAACTGTAAGTAATTTTGCATTCTAAGTTAAAGCATTTGGGCTTCATTGTGTGGGTAATTAAAAKATTTAGAAAAATCATATGATTAGATCTAGGTATCAGTAAGTTAAAAAGAATGAAGGAGAAATGTGGAAAAAAGTCAATAATGAAGTTGTTGCAATTCTCTAAATGAGAACAAGGGCCACATTGTGGTAGTAATAGTAGGTATAAGAAAGTCAGGCTGAAAAGCTGTTAGAAAAAAAAATCAACAGAATTCATCACTGAAATAAATAGGAAGATATAGGGAAGAGAAGTACCACTATGATATCCAAATTCACAGCCTGGGAGTAGAAAGTTTCTGATACCATTAAGAGAAATATAGTCTGATAAAGAAGAAGCATACTTAGAAGGGGAAAACTATAAGCTCAGTTCTACACGATACTAAGTATAAAGTCATCATGAACTCATAATTTATAAGTGCAAGGCATTCATTCAATAAACATTATTTACTGACCATATAACATACAGTGAAGAAAACAATAAAAAAAAAAATCCCTACCTTCATGAAACCTACATTCTAGTAGAAAAATCAGTAAAATGCTGTCTGTTAGTGATCTAGAGTCATTACAAGGACCCTAACTTTTATTCAGTGTGAAATAAAAAGCTATTGAAGGGTTTTAAGTAAAGAAATGGCAGGACCTCACATTTCTTGGCTGAAAAAGAGTAGTGGCAAACAGGGAGAGGCAAACAGGAAGTTAATGAAATTGTTCCCAGCAGCGATGATGGTCGCAGAGAAGATAATGGCAGAGGAGATGGTGAGATGTGATCAAAATCTGGGTATATTTTGAAGGTAGAAGTGGCAAATGTAGGGTGTGAAATAAAGAAAGGAATCAAAGATCATTTCAAGGTTTTTGACTTGACTTCAAAAAAAAATGGAACTGCCATTCACTGACAAGAGCAAGCCTGAGGAAAGAACAGGTTTTAGGAAGATCAGGAACTTCATTTTGGACATGTTAAGCTTGGGTTACCTGTCTGACATACAGTGGAGATGTTCACTAAGCAATAAAATACATGACTCTCATAAAGGGAGAGGTCAATAGTTGATACCCAAATTTAAGAGTGTATGGTAATATTTAGAACCATTAAAACTGGGTCCACTCACCAAGAGAGATCAAATCTAAACAAAGATCCAAACACTTAAATCTTGAAGAACTACAAAAATTTTTAAAAATGGGAAGATGAAGACCAACCAGAAAAGGAGAAGGCAAAAGACAAGGGGGGAAGGAGGTAGCAGATTAAGGAAGTGACACCCAGTAAACAAAGTGTTTGATGCAGAGTATCAGATTTGTCAAAATGTTACCTTTGGATCAATTAAATTGAAAAACATGAGCTAATCACGGGGTTTGGGATCATGGGCCTCTTTCATGACTTTGAAAACAACAGTTCTGGCCAACCCTGACTGAAGTACATTCAAGGGGGAATAAGAAATTAGAGGCTGTAAATACTGATACTTTTTTTGAGTTATTCATAAAGGGAAAGGCAGTGATTATTAAAGGAAAGGGAGGGATGAAATGAAGCTTAGTTTGTCTTGTTTTGTTTTATGAAAGCATTTCAGAATATTAAGGGAAAAGGAGGCAACTGCTAGTGTGCTACCATAAGCAAAGTCAAGAGTGTAGAATCTATGGCACCTAAGAAGAACTGGTGTGGTGGGGAAAAGGATGAAAAATGGAGATACAGATTTGGGAGGAAGCTGACAGAAGTGTGTATACAACTGCAGCAACGAGAATACCAAGGAAAAAGTCAACAAGAAAAGTGGCTTAATAAAGAGGGCATGGCCCAAAAAAGAAAGTGACATTGGATCAAGAAATAGCTACTGCCCTTCTCAAGAGCTCTCGGCGTTGTGATTGAGGGCTTGAAATATCCATATCCCCTAACCTTGCCACCAGCAAGGTCGCAGGGTTCCAGGCTTCCTCGGGGACCCAGGAATGAAGAACGGAAAGAGACACATACCTCGTGTGGACTCTCACACACAGCCAATCCCACGAGGCCAGTGGTCTGTTCAAAAACAAAACACGATTCGAGTTTATTACGGTTTCCGCGCATGCTCTTCCTTTACTAAGCAAACCCACACTCCCTTGGCTAATCTGGTCTAAAGTCAGGTAACAGTCTCTCAATTCCGCTCATTCGGAACTTACTTTCTGCTTCTATGAGCGGAGCCACTAACCTGGGCACCCCCTGAAAGCAGGGCAGAACAAATCCCCAAAAAGCACCGCCGTGCGCGCACCAGTTATGGTCACACCCCACCCCCATGGGAAGAAAGGCTATCGGGCTGACTCTTCGCCCAAGATCTAAATTCCAACAGTGACCTCCATTCGTCTCACCTTCTTCAGCACACCCGCCATGACAGCGCCGAAGAACCGACCCCGCGCAGCCCTCTGGGAACCTCGCGCAGACCTGCTCAATCGACCATCGAGGCTGTCGCTCCGTCACCATGGAAACAGCTTGATTCCTCTCCCTCAAGTTCTACAGAAGGTGCAAATGCTCTATCCCGTCCAAGGGAGGGAGGGCGGAGCTGACGCATGCGCAATGAATACGGACAGGTTGAAGGCTTGGATAGTTGGGCACAAATACCGTCGTTCGYGATTCGATTCTGGACCTTTGCTGCTACTACCATTGACTGCTTGCCCAAAGGCCGAGCAAGACACTACAGACTAAAAATACTTGTCCGTCTTAGTCGCTATAGGAACTTGCACTATGTTTAACCTTAGGTGAATTCCCTAATCTCCCTTCCTCAATTTATTAATATGAGCATTATCTAAAGTGGTCTCCTCTGCAAAGGTTAATTCGTAGTACAGGGATGTCAGTATTCTCGATCTTATGAACCAAAGAAGTACGCAGCGTGAGGCCTTCTTTTCTCTTCCATTTATTTCATTGCTGAAGTACTTCATCCCATTTCCCAGATCAGACCACAACGCTTTTCCCCACTTAACTCCACAAACATGTATTGAACACTCACTCCATGTTCTTGAGACCTAATTTGTAAGACAGAATCTCTTATTATGGAATTCACAGAACAATGATGAACGCATGTGTCGGTAGATAGTGTTTAGTAAGTGTGTCAAGCTGTTTCCAATAGCTAATAGTGTTTAGTAATTGTTCTTCTGAAAGAGGTTTGTGCTAAGTGCAGTGGTAACAGGAAAGAGGAAATAACTATCCAACAATCCTGGGCGATTGGAATTAAGGAATTTTTTAACAAGTCAGGGAACTTAACAAATTGAAAGCACATGTATATACACACAAACATATATGTACACATTCATTATTATGTATTTATATATGAGTATATGTGTATGTAGAAGTGTTTACATATATGTGAGAATATGTGTGTATGTGTGGGTGTTTGTGTGTATATACGTTTATTTCTAGATGATTAGTAAGGTAAACTGATTAAAATGAAAAATGAGCTTCTATGTCATTCCACAGAATTTGAATTTTATGCTGTAAGAAATGAAAACAATTAGAAGATTTTAAATATCTGAATGAAGTCATCATCTTTGTGATTTGGATACACAATTTTCTTAATAATTGAAGAAGATGAATTGGAAAAGGTGGGACAAGAATAGAGGCACGAAACTAACAAAGGGAGAGAAAACTAAACAAAAAGCAAGCAGAATAAAAGAAATAATGAAGGTCAGAAAAAAATAAACAGAATATCAATAGAGAAAAATCAGTGAAACTAGAAGTTGTTTTTACCTAAGGGTAAAACAGAGACAAAACTCAAATTATTAACATAAAAGAAGAAACATAACTAACAACCCTACAGAGACTAACAGGAGCAAGTAGGAAAACAACAAACAACTGTATGCTAACAAATTAGATAACATAGATAAGAAGAAATTCCTAGAAAGACACAAAATACCTAATCTGATCCAAGAAAAAAATTAAAACTCTGAATATATCTATAATAAGTAAAGAAACTGAATAAGCATGAAAAAATACTATTCACAAAGACAAACCCAGGATCAGAAGGTTCCACTAGTAAATTCCACCAAATATTTAAAAAATACTCCTTCAGAAACTATTTCAAAATATACAAAAGGAGGGAACACTTTGCAATTCATTCCATAATGCAAGGATTACTTTGAACTCAAGAAGGTAAATAAATTACAAGAAAAGAAAATTTCAGAGAAATATTTCTTACGAATAGATATGTAACCAGGATTCAGTTGAATCATTGACTATATCTCTTGTGGCTTTGAAACTTACTTTTTTCCCCCCAACCTTCTTCTCCCTGATCTTCTTGTCACTGATCTTCATTTCCCTAACTTTCTCCTCACTAGTCTTCTTTTCCCTGATCTCTCCTCCCTAATCTCATTTTCTCTGAATCACCTCTATAAAAGCCCCGTGTTCTGCAGATGGGCAGAATCACAGCCTTTGGGACAGGAATCCCCTGTGTTTTGCTTTTGCTAGCAAAGCAAGAAAACTTTTTCCCTTTTCTCAAAACTGTGTCCTCTTTATTGGATTGGCATCAGGGACAAGGACTGAGCTTTCGGCAATAGACACACAAATTCTCAAAAAACACAGACTAAAGAATATGAGGTTGATTTAGTATCCCAAAATTTATTAGGGAAGGGGAGAGACTGGTTTCTGTCTTCTCCCCCAACCAGTCTCTCCCCTTCCCTAATCTCAGGAAACACATTACCTTTCTTCCCTAACCTAGGCAGATTTCTGTCCTTGAGCACACACCCACCACAGAAACGAGTAATTCAGACTTTGGGGTTGGTAC